CGGGGTTGCGGTTTGTGGGACATAGACCCTGGGGGGCTTAGGGAGGGGTTATGGGGGTGTAGGGCGGACAGAACAGGGACGGTGGGACACTGCGTGTGGGGGTGCAGGTGTGGGATGGGGGCAGGGATGGGGTGAGGGCGGCTGCAGGGGCTTTGGGAGGCTCAGAGTGGGGTCTGGGCTCTGATGGCACTTGTACGGGGGTCTGAGGTGCCGCAGACACCCCTGTGTGTGTAGTCTGGTAAACTTGGGGGTCTCGTGGAAAACATCTGAAATGCCATGATGGTGTAGTGTGAAGCATTCCTGTTGTTTGCAATGCACCCTGAAATATCGCTGACCCACAGGAGAGGGGTGCCTGTGAGCTGCCCCTTGCTACAGAAACAGCTCTGGCTGGTGATTGATTGCCCCAGAGCTTCGCGGGCAACAACCTGTGTCACTTGGGTGCACATGAGGGTGACATCTCTGTCCTGTGCATGTCAGATCCTGTCATGGCTTTGCAGCTGAGCGGGTGGATCAAACCCTCTCTCCCGGGTAGCCCAGGAAAGGTGGTGAAGAGCCTGGTGTGGTGCCTGAGCGGCTGGGACCAGGATGGTCACAGGTGTCCCCTTCCTGCTGTGTCGAAGAACGTTGTTTCTGTGGTAGAGTTTGTTTTGCGGGTTAGGATTTGAGGGCCAAAGCCAGCATTGGCTGGAGCACTGGCTGGTGGTCCCCTGGGAGGCTGAGAGCTTGTCTTTAGAATGTGGTGGTGTGTTTTGGATGCTGTGGATGAGGGAATTGGACCCCTTGCATTATACTCATCTTCTTGTGCTCAGCGAAGGATTCTGTCTGCTGTCGGTCTTCCAGTCAGCCCAGGTTTTGCTGCTCTTTATCCTCTTTTTACTGGGACTCAGGAATTGCCAAAATTGTTCCCATCCTCCCCCTTCCTCACGATGATGCTGAAGACAGGACATGGTTTGGATTCTCACGCCTGGGGGGGAAGGTTATTTGCTTGGAAGATGGTCTGTCTGGGCAGCGGTGGGCTCTCAACGTGCCGCAGCTGTGCTCCTCTGGGTGTGTGGAGGTTTGGAGGCAGAGGTGGGAGCTGGGACAGCGGTTAGGAATGACTCATGTGTTGCTCTCAGCCTTCAGCACATCCCATAAGCTACCCGCCCTCACCACAGGGCTTGGAATTGAAAGCTCTCGGTGCTTTACTGGTCACGAAGGGTCAGTAGATGCAGATTTGGGCTCTCTGCCTTGGCTGCGGGGCGGTGATGTGAGCCTTGGGAACCTCCAGGCTGCTGGCATAGTGTTGCATGTGCTTGTGGACACCAGGAGGATGTCTGTGGACCCAAATAATTTGGGATGGGGGTTTCAGGTGTTCTAGGAGTGATGGCAGCAGGACTATACATTTTGTGGATGCTGAAGCAATAAAAAATATTGAAATGAATCGGAGAAAAACCACTGTTGGAAGGGACCCCTGGAAGTCATAGGCGCAAAGCAGAGCTAGCGTCAGAAGTAGTTCAGGTCACTTGTGGCCATGTCTGGTTGAATATTCCCAAGAAGATTCCTGCACCCTGGTCCCAGCACTGACCACGCTGGTATCGAAGAATTGTTTTCTTCATGTGTGTAGTCAGAATTTCTGTTACTGCAGCCTGTTTCCATCACTTCTTGTCCTTTCACGGTGTGCTCGGAGAAGTTTGGCTTCTGAGCTCTCTGACTGCCCAGCAGCGTAGATCAGACGGGAGGGAAACGCGACGGCTGACTTCCCATCTCCTCTGGTGCAGCCCGGCCAGTCTGACACACAGTCCTGGAGAGCTGCTACGGAGATGTGCGAGTGCTCCGGGCTCAGCCACAGCGAGCTGAGAAGTCCTGCTTGGTCTTCTCCTGGTGGTGCCTGCAGGAGCAGCGCTGTTTTGGCATTTGCGGTTGTTCTTGTTCGCGAGGCCTTGCTTGGATGCAGAGCTTTGCTGGCTGCGAGGCAGAGCTTGTGATACGGTTCACATCTCACATCACATGTGTTTTGCTGTGACCGGTAGACTGTAACCTTTGAAATGGTAGAGTGAGCGAGGCTTTTGACTTTTGCAGAAGCTTTTACCATTGAGAGACTCTACCTGTAAACAGCTGCGACTGCTGCTTCCATGATGGACGCCACCTAAAGAAGGAACAAGAACCACAGCTGTAGTGAGCACCTGAAGACCCTTATGGTCTGCAAGGACTGCTTGCCCTAAGGGCGTTGCTGCAAAGACACAGCGAGGCTGTGGCACTGCCTGGAGCCTCTGTAGATGTCACCTGTACAACACAGCCTGCCACCACGGCGCCAAGTATTTTGAGGAGAAGCATCTCTGTCAGAAAGGTGCTGGGGTTTGGTGTAGCAGCGTTGCATGGCAAGGAGGCTGTCACTGGTTCGAAGCGAGTTATTTCCATAGTGTGTGTCTTCCCACTGACAGTTTTGTAAGAAAAAGCGTTTTCTGCTAAATTAATGAAGACTTTTTGCTCCCAGAAGTTTCTTGCCTGTTTCAGTCATTTTAACTTTGGTGTGGAAGCCCCTTGGGCTCTCCCCTTCCTCACTGAGCCACTTACATCAGGTTCCTGAAATCCTTTGCTTACAGGGAGGTTTCTTGGGATTGAGTCCTTCTTATTGATATTCCCTGGACTTCCTCACAGGCTTTCAGCAGCCTTTATATGGGAGCAAAAGAAGCAGATTTATTATTCCAGTCTCGAGCTTGCTAGCTCCGCGTGTGGGGGGACAGCCCGAAGACTGGGCTGACTGCCTTTGCTACGGTATCCTAGTGGAAGCTGCTGCTCAGTTGCTGATGTCTAATAATTCTTTGGTCTCTTGGCCATTGTCTCTGTACCCCTGAATTTTGGAGCCACTGGAGCCAGGCTCTTTGTTTTGGTCCCCCAGGAGAGAGGGAAACTAAGGCGAACCTTTTGGTCCCTGGACTTCCCCACAGCCCTGTTGCTGTGAGCTGTCTTTCCCTTTCCTGGCTGTCTTTCACTACCAAGAACACAAGTTACCTTTTAAAATATCCTGTAACCTATTCAACTGCGTTTCCCTCCAGTTAGAGGCGTGCGTGTCATTTAGGTGCTCCCTGCTGCTGTTCATGGTGGGGATTTACTGCTTGGCAGGTCGTCTGCAGGTGGGTCTGGGCGCTGAAGGTGGGTCTGGCTTCACTGGGCTCTGGCAGGAGAGGGTTGGTTCAGACTCTCTTGAGGAAGAGGATGATGAATGGGGATGGAGGGATGAAGGGAGCCAGAGCTCCTGTGTAGCGAGCCAGGGCGCAACGGCTCTGCTGCTGGGGAGTCTGTGTGATCCCGGTGCTGCTCGGCTGTGGTTTTTCTGGCTGTGCCTTGGCCTGGGACCACATGGGACCTTCAGGGGCTGGTGGCAGCATGTTTCCTTTCTGCTCTCTTCAGTCAGAAGTAACCTTCTGGATTTGTGCTTTTCCAGGTCTCTTCACACTCCTGGTCGAAGATTTTGGTGAGTGCATGAAACCTTCCTGGGAAGTCAGTTTTGTGCTTGACATTACCCGTAGTCCTTTCCGGTGGGCTTTACACCAGCTTCTGCCCTTTGTTTGCAGGGGTCAAGGGAGTGCAGGTTGAAGAGATTTATGATCTGCAGAGCAAATGCCAAGGGTAAGTCCCAGGCGTGAAAGTGTGAGTTTTATTGAGCAGAACGTGTCTGTGGGCCTGGGAGCTCATCGGGAGGCGTTCAGAAGGGCCGGGTGAGCTTGTCAGTCATGGAGGTCAGCGTTGTAAGTGACGAAACAGGAGTGCTTCATCAGGTTTGGGGCAGACAGGCAACCTCGTGCGTTGAGAAGGACCTTGTGGGGCAGGTCCCATGGAGAGGTGCAGTGTCAGCCAGTGTGCTCGCAGCGTGGGCTGTCTTTCTGTCTCAGTGCTTTGCAATGGCTTTGAGGCTGCTGTGTTCTTAAAAGCCCTTGTCTGAACTCCTGTTGAAAATGAATACAACATCTATTTAAAAGGAAGGGTTGTTCAGTGGTCAGCCACTATTCTGCAGGTTGGTCAGTGTCCAGAGGTGAATTTCACCTCCTGTTTCCCTGTCTTGCATCTCTTAAGACCTATCAAACCCAAAAGTTTCCGAGCTTGATGGTTATCTCAGCCCGGAGCATTAGTGTGTCCTTGGTAATGTGGGGCTGGGGGGACTTGTGGTAGGGATGGTCACTTCCAGAAAGATGGGGCTGGTGGTTCTTCTTTTCCCCTCTGTCTTTGCTCTGCCTGTGGTGTGAAACAGAAGGTTTCTGGCACTGGGCAGAGCAGCCCCACTGGTGTGGTCCATCCGAAACGAGGCAGCTGCTGATTTCTCTCCACAGCCCTGTGTATGGGTTCATCTTCCTGTTCAAGTGGATTGAGGAGCGCAGATCACGTCGGAAGGTCTCTACCCTGGTAGATGAGACGTCGGTGATCGACGATGACATCGTTAATAACATGTTCTTTGCTCACCAGGTAGGCTGGAGGCGAGGGAAAAGGGGAGGGGTGTCTTGTGTGACACCTCAGGGAAACAGTGTGGTACAGAGGGGCTGCACTGCTCTTGCTGGTCCTGAGGGCAGCAGCTCTTCCCTGGGTGTCTCTGCCCTGAGCTCCACGTTGGAGGGAATCCAGTGAGGGCTGCGAGCCTGTCTGTGGCCTGTGCTGTGAGCAGATGCTCATGGGGGCATTGTGTGGCTCGGTAAACGAGACTGACCTCCTCCCTTCCTTTGAGAGAAGTCAAGTCGCTGCTCTCACGGGTGATTCTTGCGTCAGTACATTACAATTGATTGTTGCTGACTCTGAGGGGTTGTTGAAGGGTTGCCTTGTTCCAACTGGTTAAGATGCTCCTTGTGTCACCCTCCAGCTGATCCCAAATTCCTGCGCCACCCATGCCCTGCTGAGCGTCCTCCTGAACTGCAACAATGTCGACCTGGGCCCCACGCTGAGCCGCATGAAGGATTTCACCAAAGGATTCAGCCCTGAGGTAGGGCTGGGGTGGTGCAGGGCTCTGGACGGGTGGCATGTGTGAATCTGCCTCTTGCTCCCCTCTCAGGATGATGCTCTGATGAGCTGGCTCCTTTCCAGCCCTTTGTGGCTGCACGCTGTAGAAGTATTGCCTCTTGTCTCTCACCTTCCTGCCTTGCCTTGCCCAGAGCCTTGGTCCCCTTACACTGGGCACAGCTCTGAGCCTTTTGTCCTGCTATTCCTTAGCCCAGATGCATTCTCTAAGTCTGTGATCAAAAGTCCTCTCTCCTACCTTCAGACCTGTCTTAAAGTCTGTGTTTCTGTCTATCTGTAACTTATTTAGCAGAAATTGTGTGTTCTTTGCATCTTGGGTTTTTCCTATAACTCAGCAGAGCAGCGGGTGTGCTGAAAGTGGCTCTCCCAGTCCTGTGCGTGGATGGAGGGAATGGGGAGCGGGTGGGTGAAGCATTTTGTTTGTTTCCTGTCATTTCTCAATTGTTTTACTCTCTTGCTCTTTGCTGCAGAGTAAAGGCTATGCCATTGGCAACGCCCCAGAGCTGGCCAAGGCCCACAACAGCCATGCCAGGTGAGTGAGGGTGTCTCTTGCAGCTCACGTTTGCTGGAGGAGGCAGACTCTCCGCTGACCTCTCGCCTCTCTTGCCCTCATAGGCCAGAGCCACGGCACCTGCCGGAAAAGCAGAATGGTATCAGTGCTGTGCGAACCATGGAGGCTTTTCACTTTGTCAGTTATGTCCCCATCAAGGGACGCCTGTTTGAGCTTGACGGGCTCAAGGTCTATCCCATTGACCACGGTAAGAGCCCACCTGGCCCTACTTGTTGACACAGTTGAATAGATGCCCTGTTATGTCTGAATGTAGGGATTATTTTTCATTGCCCCAAAGCATTACCTGATGTTTGTGGAGAGCCACTCCAGTGGCTCCCAGATTTGTCCTGAGTTTTGACAGCTTGTTTTGGAGCCTATACACTGTGGACTGTGTTCAGAAGGCAATTATTTCTAAATGCATTTCATTGTTTTTTCCAATGTTGCCATTCTCCTCCCCAATTGCTCAGGGCCATGAGATCCTTGTGCAGCTCTGAAATAACTCGGTATTGCAAGCAGAATTTCTCTCCTCCTCATTCTCTCCTCGTGCTGGATAACTGCTCTGTGTTGAGGCACAAGATCCCCAATGCAGATCCCAGCAGGCTGCTTGGGTTCCTTCCTTCTCTTACAACTCGACTCAATTCTTATGGCTTTCAGACACTTATTTATCCCTGCTAGCACTTTGCTTCTGTCTGTCAGCCCTTTCAGCGAGGTACCCACTTCATGTGCCTGGTTTTCTTAAGCATGGCACCAGGTTCACTGGCAGGTGGAGCCCCACAAGAGCTGGGATTTCCTTGGACTTTGTGAGCCTGGAGCCTGTGAATCGCTTGTGGTCTGTAGGGTTCAAAACTCACCTTTCTGTCCTGCAGATAACTCACATTTTTCCATTTGGAAGGCAGAGGGTTCCATGTATGGGCTGACAGCGTGGTCCTTCTGCCTCCTGGGCCCCTTCTTGCCTTGTTCCCTGGCCTGTCAGGAAGCCATGAGATTGTCTCTTGTGAGGATGGCAGGATCCGCTCTGTGAGTCTGAAGTGGGAGCCTTGGACTGCTTTGCTAATTCCATCTCTGTATCCTTATTGCAGGGCCGTGGGCTGATGATGAGGAATGGACAGACAAAGCCAGGAGAGTGATCATGGAGCGCATTGGCCTGGCCACTGCAGGGGCCGTGCTGCAGGCACGGCCCCTCACTATTTTTTCCCTGGATTATTTCTACTGTGGTGTCTGTGCAACAAGTAGTGGAAGTGGAGGTGGAGAATGTTGCTTGGGAGGGGTGCAGGTGCCCTGCCTCCTTGCCTGGAATTTGCCTGCAGAGAACCTGCATTCTGTGTGATGCAGAGTCCCTGTAAATGGCTGCACGGGATAAGAGTGGCAGATTAGGCCCCTGTTTACTCGAGTCCATAGGAGAAGGAATGGTGCTGGCAGCCTGCTGACCCCCCTTGCTGGGAGATGGGCGTTCCACCACCAGCTTGCGGCTGATGTCTGCTGTCCCTTCCTGCAGGGAGCCGTACCACGACATCCGCTTCAACCTGATGGCGGTGGTGCCTGATCGGAGGATGAAGTACGAGTCCAAACTGCACATCTTGAAGATGAACCGCCAGACTGTGCTGGAGGCCTTGCAGCAGGTAGGACAGCCCAAGCTGTGAGGCAGTGCAAGCGTGGGGTGGGGACAGGCTCTGCTGTCAGGTCATCTGTGGCATTGCCAGTTGATTATGTGCATGGGTGGTTGGCGGTTGGTGGTTGGCTCACCCTTGCAAGTTCTCCTTCTGTGGTGCTTGAACAGGAGGGATGTGTTTTGGGTCACCCTGGTCCAGCACTCAGTTTCTGCCATTTGCCTTCAAGCTTATCCGAGTTACTCAGCCTGAGCTGATCCAGACCCAGAAGTCCCAGGACTCTCAGGCTCCAGAAGAGGCAAAGCCAGCCAGCAGCAAGACTCCAGAGAGCACCCGTCCAGGTAGACCCCATACCAGTGGCGTCCCAGCCAGCCAGCCTGGCCTGCTGTGGAGCCAGCACCGGCTGGTGACAATGGCTAGCTGACCTGGAGCTTGAGGCATTTTTATGGTCAGCTTCACCTTCTTTTCTCCCAACCCAGCTCTGTGTGTGCTGTACTGGGGTGTTGTACATGCCTCTGTGCCTGGGAGGAGTGTCAGAGGGACGTGGAGCTTGAAAATGGGAGGGCTTAAGCTTGGGGACACTTGCAGACAGCTGGAGGTGGAATGGGAGGTGGGTGTGCTGGGCTGGTGGCGCGTAAGAGTTGTGCCACGTGTGCGGGGCAAGGGGTGGCAGAGGACATCGAGTAGAATGTGACGGTGCTGGTCATGAAAGACTGTGCTGTTCTTGTGTGGCAGACGGCACCGACGAGCCTGCCAGCCAGGGCCACCCTGCGGCCACCCAGAGCCCACCCAACAAATCCAAACCAGTGGCAAAGACATCAGCGAGCAGTATCAATGGGGCGCCTCCAGCAAACCCCAACCCCATCGTGCAGAGGTTGCCAGCCTTCTTGGATAATCACAACTACGCCAAATCCCCAATGCAGGTAGGCTGGAGCTCCAGGCCAGCAGTGTGCCTGACTTGAGCTGAGCTTTTCCATTCCAGTCCCTTACTGGACTGTGGGAGTGTGGCTGTCAGCCAGTCTGAGCCCTCCCCTGCCCTGCAGCCTGCCTGCCCTTGCACTAACCCAGGCTGGAAGGTGGGAGGGTAAAGACTGACCTGGCAAAAGAGGTTGGCGTTGATGTGGGCCAGCTGAGCAAGCACATGGAAGAGCCCCATCTCCTCTCAGAAGGGACAAGCCCCGGTGTCTTGGCTGAAGCGAGGACGTGTCTGCTGGGCTCTTCCTCCTCGCCCCGCTGCCTGCAGGCCATCAGTAATGGTGTTTTGCAGGAGGAAGAAGACCTTGCGGCAGGAGTGGGTCGCAGCCGGGTCCCAGTCCGACAGCACCAGCAGTACTCGGACGATGAGGATGACTATGATGATGATGAGGAGGAGGAAGTTCGTAACACCAACTCGGCCATCAGGTGACAACTTGAGCCAAGGGCGAGGGGCAGGGAGCAGATGTTTGCAGAACCACCAGCAGTGACTTCCAGATCTCTTTCCTGAGCGCAGTTAGCTGTGTTAGAGCCTGCGCCTGTGTGTGCGATCAGGGCTGCTCTCTTGGCCTGCTGGTCTACTGTTCACCCGCTGAATTTTGTGCATGCCTTCTCTAGCTCTTCACAGTCAACCCTGAGTTTTGTCTGCCCTAAGTTACTGTGTGTCAGCAGCAAAACTTGCGGATTCTCTGCTTTCCCCTCTTTTCCAAATGTTCCCGAATAAACAGAATAGCCCAGTTCTGTGGGGCTTCTCCACAGCTCCCTCCTGCTAGCACTTTTCTTGTGCCACTGGTGGCTCTGTGGGTGGTGGAGCTTGACCTGCAGAAGGTCACCTGTTAGCTGATAAATCACTGTATTTTACGGTTGGAGGGCAGAGGCAGGCTGCTCTGCATTGAAGGCTGCCTGGTGCTCAAGAAAATGTCATGTGAGCTGCCTGGGGGGGCTTCACTTCTCCAAAATGAACCTCAGTTCCCCAGTGCTGATTGCCAGATCAGCTCCTGGTGACAGCATTGGTGTGCTCAGACTGCTATGAAGGTCAGGAAGGGGTGTCACAGCGAGGCTGCTCTTAGGGCTTCTGGAAGAAGAGCAGGGGTACACAGCACCCTTTGGGAAGGCCCCTGTCCCCCCTGGCTGCATAGGAATACCTGTAGCTGAGTGGTTTGGTGGGGTGGGGTGCTGTCAGAGAAGCTGGTGGCAGAGGACGTGACCTAGAAATGTTCCAGGACTTGCTTCATCCCAGCAGATGGGCTGGAGTGCTGGGTGTGGGGCCGGCAGCACCTGCGCTGGCCCCCCACCTCCTCCCCCTCACCTGCCCTGCTATGTCCCTGGGCAGGTACAAAAGAAAAGGGCAGGTAAAGCAAGAGCATGTGACGGGGGCTGCGGATGGCCAGCTCTCTGTCCTCCAGCCCAACACCATCAACGTCCTGGCTGAGAAGCTGAAGGAATCTCAGAAGGATCTCTCCATTCCCCTGTCCATCAAGACCAGCGGCGGAGGCGCTGCCGTGGCGGTGGTCACCCACTCCCAGCCCTCTCCTACCCCCAGCAATGAAAGCACGGACACCGCCTCCGAGATTGGCAGCGCCTTCAACTCCCCACTGCGCTCTCCCATCCGCTCAGCCAACCCCACCCGCCCCTCCAGCCCCGTCACCTCCCACATCTCCAAGGTGCTCTTTGGCGAGGAGGACGGGCTGCTGCGCGTCGACTGCATGCGCTACAACCGGGCCGTCAGGGGCCTGG